TTGGAGAACCTTCGAGGAAGACTTTTCGATATCCGACGTGTCTTTTTATCTCAAGCTCAACCACTCTCGATTGATCACCTCCACTCTGCGCTGGAGACCCGAGCTCAAGAACGATATCGCTGCTATCGTGAAACAGGCGGTGATGGATGTCTACGAAAGTATAAATAACGACGCCGACTATTGGAAGCAATACGTGAAAAGCGAAACAGTGAATTTGATCTCGGACGTTTGGGAGGACGGTCAGGAAGACCTGCAGGAATTTCTCGACGACTGGAACAACCTGAAGGAGCTTCAGACAGACTTGGACGATCTGAAAGTTTATCTCAACAACTCTTACAACGCCAACGACTTTTACATCAAGGATTTCGTCTCGTTTGGAATGTACGTGATCGACGAGCTCTCGCTGCGAACTCACATCGAATCTCTGCCGAACATTCTCAACGAAATATGGGAGGTGATGGGCGAATCCGGCGAGGCGATCAGGAATTCGTTGCTCTCGGTGATCGAAGCCATCAAGAACGCGTTCAATAAAGTTTCCGAGATAGTCGCGGCTATTCTAAGGGGTGATTCGATCACTCAAGTGGCTAGTATAATCGAGAAATTACTGGAAAAGTACGACAAGTTCGTGAAAGATCTTCACGTGTCGTTGATTCGATACATCGAGAACCTTTGGGGAAAAATTTCCCAATCGATCTCGCACCAATGGCATCGATTCTTGCTGACAATGGAGCCACTTTTCATCCGTTTCATTCACTATTTGGAGACGGTGGTCTGGAAGGCGAGTAAGGAAGTGGTCGATTTTCTCTACGACCGAGGAAACGATCTGATCGCTTCCCCTTACTTCGACCGTTTCACCAACTTCACCCAAGACATCGACAAGTTCTACCGAGACATCAAGGCGAACGACATCGTAACGAACGTCGAGAAATATTCTGGCTTGCTAATACGGTTCCTCAAGGAGAAATATTTCACATTCGTGCCGTTCGGTAAAGAGCTGAAGGACGTTGTAGACGAGATCGTGAACGAGCTGAAGGAATTACAAAAATTACCCTCGATACGTTACGCTTTGGAGAAGATGCAACAGATGTACGAGAGAGCGTACTACGTTTACGACTACCTCGACATACGTGTGAAAATAGAAACCGCCGTTCGACTGATTCATGCCAAGCTAATGGACGTAAGTCAAACCGCTCTCCAGGCTGAGAGCAGATACAGGGAAGCGAAAACAAAGTTCATCTTCGATCCTAGCCAAGGGTTGATGTGCTTCGAACAAAAGCTACCCATGTCCTGGCACGCGTTCAACCAAACGCCCGAATTTCACGAGATCCCCGAATTCAGAGCCGTCACCGACCTAAGGTCCTACTTTACTTCCTCCAACGTCACCTTCTGGAGCGTGTACCGATACAAGCCGTACGTCAGTCCGGTCAATTGGTTACCACCGTTCAAAGCGCAAGCGATGATCGTTGGTTCCGGTCATTTCATCACCTTCGACGGTCGCCACCTCGATTTCCTCGTGGATCATCCTTGCACCTACCTCTTGGCCCGTGATTTCGTCCGAGATACCTTTACCATTCTTCTCAAGTACGAACCGCGTACCGCCGCTCGAGTAACGCACAAGATCATCGTGTTGCTCGGAAAACACGCCCTCGAGCTTGACATCTTCAACGACGTTAGTTTCTCTTTTTTCTCTCCTAACAGTTCAACATTGATTCGATTAAAAACACTCCTGTTCTTTTTCCGCAGCGCATCAAACTCGTCACCGAGTCAACTACCGAGACCAATCTCGCGCTTCCGATCGAGCTGGAGAACGGAACCACGTACGTGTATCAGACGGAAAACGTGGTTACGGTAGAGCGCAAGAAAAATCAGTTGCGACTCGAATGCAATTTCAAATTCGACCTGTGCGTTCTCCAATTGTCCGGTTGGTATCACGGAAAAACCGCCGGCATTCTCGGAACGATGAACTACGAGCCGATAGACGATACCACTGCGTCGAACGGTGTCGTAGAGAGAAACGTGTCAACGTTTGTCGAAAGCTGGTCGATCGACCGATACAACAACCGTTGCTCCGTCCTCTCTTCCAACGCCACCACGGTCACGGTCACGGTCCCCGGCCGTGGTGACGACTTGGACGACTTGGACGACTTGGACGACGAACCGCTGCGGTCCGTCTCCGAATTCTGTAAAGAGCTGTTCGTCGACAAATTTTCCGAGTTCATCATCTGCTTCGACGTGGTAGACCCCGAGGAGTACGCGAAAATCTGCGCGAGAACGGCGAGCAGCAGATCGGACGTTTGCACACTCGCCTTATCCTACATGCAAGTCTGCATGTTCCATGAAACCTATCTCCGAATACCGGACGTGTGTAGCAGCTGTAACATGGTGGACGGTAGCCAAGTGGCTGAAGGCCAGTTCAGAAAGGTGGATGGCGATCGCGTACCCAGCTCCACCGACGTCGTTTTCATCGTCGAAGGGAAAGCGTGCAACCACGCTGTGAAAGAAAATCGTAGCATCGAACAATTAGTCGCACAATTGAGCAAAGAGTTCAAAGATCAAGGTCTCGCGGACAATCGATGGTCTCTAGTTGTCTTCGGAGCGAACGGAGTGTTCGATCGTCCGAGAAGTATCGTCTTGGACGGGCAGATCTTCACCAAGGGCTCGGCGCGATTCGTCGATTACTTCGATCACGTGCCGATCGGTGATGGGAGCCAAGACATTTTCGCGGCGATCGCGTACGCCTCGAAACTCGTATTCAGGGCCGGCGTGTCGAAAACTTTTATTCTGATGCCTTGCTCGCATTGCGAGCCGGAAAATCAAACGGTAACCGATTCTATTTCTCTCCTCTCCTCTCTTCTCCTCCTTCTCTTTAATCCGTGTAATTCGTTTTTTTAGCTCGACTATTCAGTCATACACCAAGTCTTACTCGAACACGACATCACCCTTCATATACTGATGAACGGCGATTTTGAATTCGAGAAAGAGAGACTGAACAAAATCTTCTATGGATTAGACGCGACAAATTCGTATACGAAAAAGGACGCCAGAACGCTAATCGGCGACGTTGATCTACGGCGGCAAGTGAAACTTTCGAAAACCGCCCTCGGCTACTGTGCACCGTTGGCTTTGGAAATCAACGGCACCGTATTTACCGGTGATAAATTGCGCTTCGATAAATTAACCTCGATCAAAAAGTTCGCCAGCGTTTTCTCCAAGCGGGTAGCTTTGACTGCGCGACCCAATCCCTGCCAAAACTGCGAATGCACTGCTGACAATAATGGCGTCACGCAAATGGAATGTATACCGTGCGTCTATCCGACTCCGGTCTCCGTCGATTACGTGAGTTTCCACCTTACCTTCTACTATTCTACTATTCTACTATCCTACAATCTTTCTTTTTCCTGCAGGAAACGTTCAATCTCAACGATTCGTTCGCCTCTCTACAGCCGCCGTTCAACTTCGATTACGATCAAGTCGATATCGACGATAGCTGAAATGCCAAATCAAACAGTAGGATTCTTCTTTACCTCTCGTTTCCATACCGCACCTTCCGCAATTTGTAAAATGTCATTCGATTCGACAACGTTCATCTCGAAATACATCGATAGGAATATTACGCTCGTATGGACGCATAAATAAGAAAGAGACAGTCTCGTTTATTGATCAACGACGTTACACGTTACACGTGTGTACAAGTTTTCCATTAAAAAATCCGAGTTGAACAATGGAAAAACATGACGCTATTTTAGTTTTAGTCCACAAAACAAAAATGAAAAAAAAAAAACAAAAAAAAAATAAAAAGAAAAAACCATAACATTATCCAGCAAATAATCATAATCCGTTAAGGTTCTAACTTATCTTCTGTTTCGTATAGTTTTTCTTTCTTCTTAAATAACGTTTGATTGGTCCTTTCCGAAATACCTTACTTACCAACAACTATACCTTTCGGGTACGTTTCTGGTTCGGTTGAAACTTTGAAGTGCCATTCGTTCGATTGTTAATTATATCGCCAACTGTCGATCAAATATTATACGCTTTCACCATTTTCTCAAATGGCCACATTAGATACTTTAAAGATATTCCAAAGCTTTTCCCGTTTACGTTTCTATTTTATGGCAATGCGTAAGCATGGCAAAGATTTGCATGAAATTTCATTTTGTTACATGAGATTCTAATTTCCGAATGATAACTGAAGATATTTTTAAATACGAAAAACCAGCTGAAACGCAAACAATACCGTTCTCATTTGTACGATGTTTGCACCAAACACCAAGCAACAATAAAAACCGCGTATTATATTCTCGTTATGTTGTAACATTTACAACCTTTGTAAGCAGACGTTATCGTACACGTTCAAATGAAAAAACAATTCCTTTTCTAAACCCAAATTTGAAAATTTACACGCCTACCAGAAAACTTGTGATCGTTGAGTAAAATAGCAGTCGTATAATTGCAACTGCTTTATAAAATCCTCCTCTCGTTTATTACCTGTGTGTATAATCATTCTAAACGCTCTTTTCTAAATATTATACAAATGCAATACGAATCGCGTGAGTGGCCGATCGATTCGCGTTACATTCTTCGAATTTCAGCTTGCACCTACGTCGTTGGCGAACTGAAAAATGGCGAATAAATTTGTCGTATCGATTCGGATTACCCTAAAAAAAAAAAAGAATAAAATCTGTAAAGACCGTTTGAGTCTCTAAGAAACGTAACGAAAACATAGAGCTTTTATCTAAGGCTACTAAACAGAGTGATAAATTTGTTTGCAGTCGTCAGAATCGAAAAAACCTAAAATGGTCAAGTGTCATCGAGTTACATAACATATACATATACTCGATAACTGTAGAAACAGACGAATAAACCTAGCACAAAATCATTTGTGCCAATATCCTTGGCCGCAATTACGATACTGTTATCTAAACGCATTGCAAAATGGTCACCTGGTATCATGTGCCTGCAGGTGATTCGGAGCATCTGCAAATGTAAATTTTAATTTGTATGCTTCCGCTACCAATATCCCGATTTCGGAATCTGTCCAATTCTGAGTCGGCAGGTTTTGTAGCATTAACATCAGTCCCTAAACAGCAACAACAAACCACCTCTATTTCATCTTTTTCCCAATTAAGCGAAACGAAAATGTAGATTCAACTATAATCGAATATTATAAATCAAACTTACTTGAAAATCAGGCTGTAATAAAAGGTGACGTCTCCAACGAAGAAGAAACGCGGCACATACGTAAAGTTGAAACGAAGCAAATCGATCGGATTCCGCTAAATATGTATCCCACAGACGAATCGTGCAATGAAGGGGAATTTCTCTCGTTAGCAAGTTATTCATCCATCGAAATGAAAACTGCAAGTAATCCACACCGTGTTGATGTAGATGTTGATGCAATGGCGCTGGGAGAGAACAAATTACATGCGTGATCGATTAAAAATAACGACACAACGATCAAAGAAAAGGAGACAAAGGAGAAGGAAAACGGAGCAGAGTTTCAAACCAGTCGGTGGTCAATTACATACCGTCGATTCTCTGTATCAGTTCTTTCAATTGATTCACTTTGTGCTGAATGCCTAATTGAGCAAAGATGTAATTATCCTGAATACCATCCAGAAACTTAGACAAGCACCAAAAACTATCTGCTTCTATAATATCCCGTTGTTCTTTTTCTAACGACGCAACGTCGTAATTTTCCAAATCCTGCCATACCGATGCAGGCACTGCTTCTTGCAAAAACACCAGAAAGAAAGGTGTCACTAAATCGTTCATTCCCTAAACAGGAGAAAAATGCAAAGGGACAAATTCAATGGTCGTATACGGATGAAAGATGCACGGACGCGCGTAAACGTACTTGAACGTATCCTGAAGCGGGATGCCGAATTGCCCAGATATAAAGTATTCGTTCGAATATTAGTTGCACCGTTGTTTGCTGGAACAACGAAATAAGCGGTGACATTCTTGGAATGTCAATGTGAATTTGACGATATGTATCTTGAAATCCTTCGTCCCTTTCAGTATCGTAATACTGTTTTACTAAATTCCAATAATCTAAACGTTTACGTTCCAACACGTGTTCCCTTCGTTCTAAGTTCGCTGGTAAATATTCCTGCGTTACACACCAAACAAACAACCATAGTTTTACATTTTTCTTCTTTTCTCTCATCGGAACTTCATCGTTAAGCATTCAAACTGCGGTATAGTTTACCTTTCTTACTTACAGACAATAACCTCCATGTAACGGAACGCAATCGCGCAGGTATACCCGACCATGATAACTGTCTTAATTCGTCTAAATTTAACACAGAGGCTTCCAAAAGGGACTGAAATTTATCTATTTTACTTTCGCCATCTACAATTATTAACAAATCATAACTCACAATACATTCTAAATGAACGAATAGAAAAAATTATTTCATAAGCACCTTGCTCTTTCGAAGGTATAAAAAATTTCATAGGCGCGTTCGTTTGTCTTAACGGTTGCGGTCTGCCTGGAAATTGCGTTGGTTTATGTTGCGGGGAAGCACCATATTTTATATCTGTATCTTCCGTGGAATGCTGACTGTTGTTCACTTGGATATGCGTAGACAAGTTGGCATTTCGTAAATGCAACGGTTGAACGGCTAATCTTTGGAGTGCCTCCGCCCTTTTTTCCACGGGAATTATTTCTTGAACGCGTTGCGAACATTTTACATTTGTCCCCAAATCTACGCACGTTTTTCTTGATCTATGGCTATTAATAACACTGATAGCAGCAGAATGGCTAACTCGTTTCGATATTTTTACATCGGACACCGTGCAAAATTCGTCGTCTCCGGAATCCCACGCATCGTCCACACTTTCTTGAAAGTCTTGAAACGACGTAGAACCTCCTCCTGATATAGCTCCACTACTGCTAGATACCGTACTGGCAGAACTGCCAGACATCAGTGCAGCACCACCTATTTTCCCAAGTTTACCATCTTGTTTCGGACTTGGCCTTTTATTATGCATACAAAATACATAATAATCCGGTTATGATCAATAATTAACACTACCGTGTGTGTATGAGATTATAAAATCTATTTTTAACAATGTTGCAAACGCAATGTCATTGTGTACATACCTGCCTGGAACAGCACGCGTATTCTTTTTCCAAAATGACTGATGCGTTTGGTAAGCTTGACTGTGGTGACTCTGATTTTCCATAATTATTATAAATTATGTTAACTAGCACCTGCCACCTTTCCAAGATAATTGAAAAAGCAATACAAGTTCCTCATTCCCCCCCGAAAAGAAGAATTACTGAAACAAATTTTTCATTGTGTTTATTAAAATCCTTCAAATTATTATATCTTTATTAAGGATATCAAATTACAGAGACCATGTCATTTGATCATGTATAAGTAACAGAAACAGCAGATATCATCAAAATTAATATAACCACTACA